TTTTCTTTGTGTTATTGTATGGTCTTTACCTTACGATACAGGCAGCCTTGAGGCTACTGTTGTTGTGATTTGGCATTATAAAAAATTGAATTGAAGTGATTTGGATGAGAGTTTAGTTTCGCTAATGTGAACAAGAACTACATTTCTACAGTGGAAGTATGGGATAATTGAATGGAAGACTTTTTAAAAATATTGCAGTCATTCAGATAATGCAAAAACAAGGCAAATCTGAGCAGCATGAGCTCTTGAAATGTCAGCAGAGACTGCACTGAGTACAGGAAAGCAATCCCTGAGCAGCTTTTCAAACTCACAATCTCATGCAGTTGACCGTGAAAATTAACAGTATTTGTTGGGTTGGAACAGCAGAGAGTATTCTGTATAGCAGAATTTTAAGTGGTTAAAATCTGAGTAAAACTGGATTTTTATTCCAAAACCTAGCTGTTTGAGATGGCTTTGAGATCTTGAAGGCAGTGAAGTGTTATAAGCGGGTGGTGGAGTTCTTGCTTTAATAGTACAGCTTTGGTTAAAGCAGAACTATATAACTGAGCTTAGTCAACATCACTATGAATAGGAAGTTAAAATTGCTTCCCTTTTATTTCTCTGTTTTTTTTATTTTTTATTATCACGGTCGGTTTGCTTGGTGGACATCGTGACTCTAATTACAGAAGAAGTCTCCCTGCATTCATCATTCTGTCCCTGTTTGCCTTTTATGCACTGCTAACACACAGATACACACACTCCTATCCATATAACAGTACAACCAGCACCCTCAGTACCTATCTCCTCTCCATCTTTTTTATACACTTCCCACCCCACTCTTCATCTTTTCCTCCTCCTCTTTCCTTCTCCCATTCCATTTTCTCCCCGGTCAAACATAAGAGCGCTCATTTGTCACCTGCATGGATTTCCTGTCAAAGCCCACTACCTCTAGTGTCACAGCCCAGATGACCTGAAGAAATGTGTGTGTGCGTATGCATGCACGTAACTAAGACAGAAGGAAAGATGGACGGGTTAAGCTGGAGTTAAATCTATGTGTGTGTGTGCCACACCGGTCAGGATTTCTGACAGATTTCTCTGCTCGTTGGCTCTCTTAAGTAAAATATGTGAGGTCAGGTGGGAGGCAGAAAGCTTTAAAAAGAAAGCAGTTGACATGACTGAGGGTGACAGGAACCTCGTTCCCAGCCGCAACACACTCGATCAGCAGCAGGTGCCAGTGGGGCTCCAAACAGCTTTGTGATTCCTGCCCAGGGTTTCCCGCTGGTGTAAAACACCTCCTCTGACACCCTTCAGAAGTCAGTTTAGTCAGCGAGCAGATTAATTTTCTGCAACACTTGATCATGACAAGCATGTGAAATTCAAATAGATGGGGATCCACTGAGTTAGAATCATCTATTTACCAACACATAAGGCTACTGAGTCACAATTTACGGAAGCCTTGTCCCCCACAATGCGGAGCTTGTCTCACCTCCATCCATCCGTCTCCTCCTTCTCTCAGCGAGAATAGCAACAGTGCTGCATTTCCTGACTCAGTAGCACGTATTACCAAGGGAGACTAAATCCTATGGAGGTGTAACGTAGTGTGGTCTGCTGAGTCAAGAGCTCTTTTTCAACACTAGCTTTTTAAATATATATAAAAATATAATTTGCACAGCAAAAATCACGCATGCACATGTGTTTTCAAGCACGGCAAAACAGCCACACTGCATGTCAACGGCGCTGCAAAGCAACCTTTTAAAATGGCGTTTTTCTGATCCGTTTTCTGCATATTTTGAAGAATTACTGCTGGTGAAACACATACTTAAGAGTTTAGGAAGGAAGCAGTGTCTTTCACTGTGAAGGTGAAAAGATGAGTTTAAAAGATAATAACTTTGTACCTATCAAATAATACCTGAGAGCACCGCAACAGCAAGGTCATATGTAGCAGCAAATAGCCCATCAAAGTAAAGTACTCTGGACTTAAGTAAAATAGAAAGAATTTAGAGTAGAGAGGAGGGTGGGAGCATTTTCATTTGTGATAATCACCAATAAGCAAAAATGGCAGAAATGAAGTAACAGGAGTGTGATACATTCCAGTAGAGCAAGGTCACTACTATTAAGGGCAGGTATGAGAACCCCCTTTGCTACTATGACAAATCTGCATTAAGAGTCAACAACAACAGCTTAGCCAAAATACGGGAATCATTGCATTTGAAGGCAGACTGTGTAGTCAGACAGTCAGACTGCTACGCTGTATGTTAAAGCAAGGACAACATCAGATAATGTCATTACCAATCTCGTTATCTCTTCCTACAAATCTGATGCTTTTAGTTGATCTGTTCCATAAAGGAAAGGCTGAGTCATTTGTAAGTGAGATGCTTCATGTGCGTCTTGATTTTTTTCCATCGTGTTTTTGTTCATTACTAAATTATTGTTTTGCTTCTATTGATACACAAACCAAAGCTGAGTAAAGACAGATTTTTACCATTTAGGCTTCTTTTTAATTTGACTTGCTTGGTTTTTCTCCCCCTGATGAATAATTTCTTCTCAGTAATAAAAATTAAGTAGCATACCTCAACTGCGGTTTCATAGTCAGAGCCGTCAAGTAGGGTGACTTTGACAGGGACAGTCTTGGGCCGCTTGGAGCTTTTCTGGGGGGATTTGGAGGCTTTGCTGGGGGTCTTCTCTGAGTTATCATCCATATCCCCCTGGTCCTCTGGAACCTGGGAGAGGGAGAATCCTATCTCTCAGTGAGTGAGCTTAAAATTTGCATTTTGTCTTTTATTTAACTGTTTGAATTTTTAGTCTTGCCCTTAAAAAAAGACTTAAATTATTTGATCATATGAGGCAGTCATCAAATGCATATCGTGTGAGCCGCTGCTCTAAGATGTTAAGTTAGTGGCACGGGCAGGATGGGCTCACTGCCTTGCATATCAACGAGAAAGCCGGAAGGCCCCTGAGTGATTGAGAGGCTTGAATAAAATGATCTACAGCTGTGCTCCCACCTGATTGGTTCTCCTGGCGTCACCCTCCATCGCAGTCTTCATTTCCCCAGCCAAAGCCTTCTCTGTTGTCATAGAAATGGATTACAGTCCTGCAACCACATATAAACATGTTCTGTCAACATCAAATCTCTTCATGCTCCAAAAACTAGTGTGAAGTGTTCACTGCTATTAAAAGCCCAAACTGCCAATAGAGTCCTGATGGATTTCACTCATGACATGTAAGCAAAACTGCACAGAGCATTCTGAATCTTCACTTAAGCTGGACTTTGGTGTAATGAACAACCACAGGCATCCATTTCAACTTCCTGTGCAGCTGACAGCTACTATGTTTGGCATCTTTAATTATCCTTTACGGCTGCAGAGAATGACCATTGTTTTTAATGTGTATGGTTATTGGATTGTGTGTAGAGAGATCTTGACGGGGAGGAGAAAAAATAAAAAAGGGGCAGCTCAGTCAGTGCTGGCTCACAGCCTCCCACAGGAGCACTCTGCATGAAGAGCGTTTGGCTTCAGGACGCTCCTTCTCATGCTAGCAAAGGAGATAGCATAAATTACATCAACCAGAGAGTCCCGCAGCAACACACAGGACAACAGACACACTGTGATAGGAGAATGAGAAAGAAAATAAGGTGAAAGGAGGGAAAGAGGACACTGATATCGGTCTGACGATGAGACAGGACAAAGTAGCAAAGAAAAAAGGTTATGGAGGCAAAAGAGACCAGAAAGAGGAAAAGAGATGAGTTAACATACAAGACTGCTGCTACAATATCCGGGAGAGCTACAGACAGATGGAGCTTGTCATTTGAAGGTGACCAGTGCTATACCCAGTTTGACTCCTGCACAGTGCTTTTTCTCCACGTGACGTACAGGAAAATGGCTCATATTCAGATTGGGTGTTACAGATAAGAAGAATGAATTAGGTAAGATAAAGCCCTGAGGGAGACTATAGCTTTTCTCTGAAAGGTGAGGACGGGGTCATGGGTTTATGTGAGCTTTAGATGCAGGCTAAAATTTGAAGATTAAATTGGAAAATTTCTACAGAAATACGAGCTGTTTAAGTTCTTAAGCTGAGCTAATTTGGACTGCGACGGGCCAGTATCAGTGCCGAGTTTTAACAATGTCCCTCCTTTCCCCTGTCCTCAAACATACATGATGATAATTGCCGAGTTATTAGGGATGACCCTTTATATACTTTATCTTGAAGTACTGCGCTGGAATTTTTCAATCTCAAGATGGCAGTTGCAAGCAAGGAGTGCATACATTACTCTGTAATGTAACAATTCCCATTTAAGAAACTCCAGAATATGCAGCAGTTAATATTCATTACTAGTATAGTTATAGTAGAGTTAATAAAAATAGGGATTAGTGAAAAAGAGGCATGTGAAGCACTGATAAATAGTATAAAGGTGCAGAAGAGAAGTATATTTGGTCCTATAATGGCCAGCAAAGTGTTTGCAAACCATTAAAGTGGTGGTAGTATTACAGTACAGTAGCATTTTTTTTCTTTAAAAAAAAAGAAAAAAAAAAAAAAGAGGTGGGGGAACTAATTTGCATTTTTTCCCTCAACCAGCTGCCTGATGACACTTCTGTGTTTACAATTCTGGAGTCTCGAACACAGCACATCTCAGCTTTCATGATAGGTCAGTCTCACGCTGCATAATGAAGCCAGATCAAAGAGGAGTGCAGTCTGGCTCTTGGACGGCTGCAGATGTCACGCGCTCTATGCAGTGAATCTCCACAACTTTCAAGGGCCTGCAGGTTTTTAATTAGTTTATTTAATGAATAATAATATAATTGGTTACAAAATGTACTCTCATTAGGGCAGCATTTTCACTCATAGCGGGAAGGTTTTGATTTCAAACTTGTTCTCGGTGAGTTCCAGCTTTATTTCCACGGTCCAAAGACACTTCTGTAAGCTCACTGCGCTTCTAAACTGGTTCGAAGTATAAGTGTGGGTCATCTCTTCGTGTTAACCTTGTTGTGAGCAAGGTTAACACAACACAACTTCAATATAGCTAATGGGTAACAACATCATTGTTCAGATTTACGTATTTTCTACAATATTTGTGAAATTTGCCTTGTAAAACTTATATTAATGCAAAGCCTTGACGTCAGAGTCAAACATAAATACACATAGCGGGCAGATAAATAACAAAACAAAAAATTCTGTTCAGACAGTGCAGGCAGGAAATATGGGACAGAAAGGTGGATGACATGTAACAAACACCTCCAAATCAAATAGGAGGCTTCAGGGTTATTTGATGAGCTTCTTAGACATTTCTTATTAGAAATACAATCTTCTTTAAAAAAAGATTCAATTGCTGTTTTGTACTCAGAAACAAACTGAAGACGATTCAAATCCCCAAGTCCATTGTTTTACTCTCACATCTATTTCTAATGTAATCCAACTTGTACATCCACTCACGTGAGCCAATCAGATCTGCCCACTGTAATACACGCACTCAGTGTGAATGTCATCCCCATGAGGCAGCTGTCAGAACAATGTGTCTGTGAATCACAAGCGAGCTTGAGAGGAATCCTAATAGATCAGTGTCAGAGACTTTAGGCCGCTCATTTCACACACATCATGATTGTGAGGCCAATCAATTTTTTCATTTGGGTCACTTTATGATTCAATCACTGCAAGTCCACATCAGTTCTGGTCTCCGCACACCTAATCATCTGTGTGAGTGAGATGATGGAGGCTGAGATGTGTGTGAGGTGTGAGCCGTTGCTGTTTCTTACACACAAAAATCCAATGACAGTCAGCATCTTCACACAGACTCCTTTTAAAGGTCTTTCTCTGCAAAATCATCTGGGGCTCTTTGGTCCTTGAACTTCAAACAGCGAGCATCAGGGAACGTCTTTGTGAACTATGACAGTATGTCGCAGGTGAAGCTCAGAAGCTCAGAAAACATTGTTCAGGACTGAGGGCCTCCAAAAATAGTTGCATTTACATAACTTGTGTCTTTACAGAAATACCTTTTATTATTTATAATTTGTGGTATTTATACTTTAACATTTACTGGACAACATGTGACTGAATTAATCTGAAAGAAAACAGAAAATCTGTGAATATGGAAAAGTGCTTATGTTGGTTATATAACTAATGTACTGTACGCTAGTACTCACAGATATCACTGTTCTGCAGATTTTAGCATTTGTTTGAGTCAGACAACTAAAATAATCCCAGACAGCTCTTCCTCTCTGCTTCCACAGTTATCTATTAAACTCGCGTTATGTGGGCACTGTGGTACACGTCTGTGGAAGTGGGTGTGATGTAGATGTTTTTCTAGGCTAACCAAACAACTGCACCTACAACTAACTAAGGTTGCAGAGGCCCAAAGTACTGTACTACTGATCTTGTCAGATACTGACATGCCTCATTATCTTCACCATTTTTCTTTTCATGCGGAAAAGAAAGTTTTCACATGACTCTGAGCAGTTCTACACCCTTACTGCTTTCATAGGAACTGAGAGGGTAAGAGGCAGCCAGGAGCTGCTAATTAAAATGATCATTAACGAATGTGAACACATCTATAAAAGTAGATGTTTTGGCAGAGGTCAGAGCATGCTATGCTTATGTAATACGTATTGGACAATACAACCACCAGCTGCAAGGAAAAATTTTGTATTTGCCAAATGGGTGCTTGTGGTTCCTAGAGGTTGCTGGCTCTTATTGAGTGAAATCACATCAATAGAAGGTACAGTGTCAAAAACCTCCTGGTGTCTGAATTGTAGTGCTTCATGTTTGTTTACAAATACTCACTAACTACTGTGCTTGTACTTGTAGTAAAACTTGAAAATGTGCAGCGCAAGACAGAAATAGAGAAATGTTGCCGTAAAGTATGTTGCACCTTTGTAATACTAGTCATGATCCACATGCTGTCAGATGGTCATGCACCACAGAAGCCCCACCCACACTAGGCCTGTGTGGGTGGGGCCTTATTTGCTTGATCCTACACCATCACCATGAAGTCACGTGATCAATACGGTGTACAAAAACACAAGTATGTGTTGTTTGGAATGGTTACCAGGATAAAAACCTCTTCTCTCTAAAACAGGGGTGGGCAACTCCAGGCCTCGAGGACCTGCAGGTTTTAGATGTGTCCTTGAACCAACACAGCTGATTTAAATGACTAAATTAGCTCCTCAACATGTCCTGCAGTTCTCCAGAGGCCTGGTAACAAACTAATCATGTGATTCAGGTGTGTTGACCCAAGGTGAGATCTAAAACCTGCAGGACACCGGCCCTCGAGGCCTGGAATTGCCCACCCCTGCTCTAAAAAGAACATGGCAGTATGGCTTAGGTTTGGAACATCTGGAACAATGAAAGTGGTGGAAATGTCTGGACATAATCTAAGGAGCTTGGAAAGAAAGCGACTGAACATCTTCAAGTTTCTTGAAGATGTTTCACCCCTCATCTGAGAAGCTTCTTTAGTCCTAAAACCAAATGGTGGAGAGTCCCAGGTATTTAAACCTAAGTGGGAGCTGTCCCTTAGGGGGGTCGTTGACCCACTATTGATTATGTGCTGCATCACATGAGTCAAAGCGTGAAAAAAAGCATGGATCATTATCAGCAGAGGTTTCGGGTAAAAGCACTGTGAGACCTTGCCTCACTCAATTGTGCCCAAAAATCGACAGAGGAGACGGATGGTTTGAAAGAAGAGTTAAAGAGGCCATCTATGTCTACTGTGAGCAGCAATCTTTGAATAGAAGGGGTTTCTTACGATACCAACTGTCTGCCATCTATAATCCAGTTTGCCTCTCCAGGCACCTCAAACACCACTCACATCTCGCTTCAGGTGATCTCAACAGGTCACATGATAAGGTGAAGCAAGGTCTCACAATTGTTTTATCCCAAACCTCTGCTGATAGAAGGGTCATGATGTGGGCTTTGTTGTTGTTGCAGCCACAGAACATGAGCATGTTGCTGTTGAGTCAACTATTAATTCCTCTGTATACTATTCTAGATGAATCTGACACCTGAAGTTTGGCTAAACTTTGGTCATGCAACAGTACAATGAAACCAAGCACAACTACAAATCTGCCAAAGGATGTAAGTGTTGCAACGGACCAATCAAAATTC